TGGTGTTTGACCGGGAGTGCGTGAGAGAAAGAAAGAAACAGGGACTTTTCACAGGTCGTGTTTGTGTGGGTTTGTGTCTGTGTGTCTGTGAGAGAGAGAGAGAGAGAGAGAGAGAGGAAGAGGGAGGGAGACATGGAGACAGCGAGAGACAGTACATATTCATTGTACATGCCAAGGTACCCAAACTCCCCACCGGGATCAACAGTAAATGGCATCTTCTTTTATTTCTCATTTCTCTCAATAAGTGACCGCATTAAATTTGTATTCTCGGCTAGCCTTTGGACAGACAGACTTAGAGTGACGATTTTAGATTCCCGCTTAGTCTCTACAGTCATTCCACACCGACGCTTGTTTGCACAGACCGTGGCTGTAACTTACAGTATAAAGTACCCTGGTTCGGGACCCCCTTAAGTGTACGTAAGTCGGACGACAATAGGGAAGACGGCGGCGCCTGCTCTGTCCCTCACCTCGGAAGCATACTCTCGGGGTTGAGGAAGGACCATACGAGTCGCAACACGATGGAATCAGGCGCTCATGGGTTAAGGTGACATCTTAAGGCTTATTCATTTGTCCTGCTTTTGATGAGAAAACTAAACATCTTACTAGAACAAAAGTCGAGACATTTGAGATTGACAGGTGAGGGTCGCTTGGTATCAGAGATAAAATTAGCGAGAAAATGGTCGATAACGTTTAGAGACTTCCAAAGCTTGAGAGTCCTTGGAATCTGCAATTTTACATTGTGTGTGTGTTTGTGTGTGTGTGTGTGTGTGTGCGCGCGCGTGTGTGAGTGTGTGTGTGCGTGCGTGTGTGCGTGTGTGCGCGAGCGAACGTGTGCGCCTCTTTCATCAATGTTCTTCTGTAAAATCCACACTGAAAATTGTTCTTAAAATTTTTTAAAAGTCGGGCTCTTCGATTTTCAGTATTCTGACGAGCGGCTGATTTCCCCATGATGTCTGACAATAGAGCTGCTGGCATACCGCGTGTCCGTGTCGTGTGTATTTGAACAGGACACCAGACAGACAGGACTCTGGGATAGGTTTTATTTGACAGTAACGCCTTACGCGAGACACAATGAGCTCACCTTGACCGAGAAGCGAGCCCACGGGTTTACAGGGATTTCTCAAAGCAGATGTTTAGATTTCAGTTTTGGTACGAGTTTTTACAGCACTTTCGGAACAAAAAGGTCTTAAAAGTTCTAGAGAATTGAGTTGTTACAAAAGAGTAACATAAAAAGAACAGAAGAAAGAGAGATAAGGACGACAGGTGTTCGATCACATCAGAGCATCGGCTAAGCACCCACTTTCAAATGTAGATTAAATTGTTGATTTTCTTTTAAATTAAAAAAATTGAATCTGTGTATCTCTTCACTTACTAATTTTGTTACAGTTGTGGGTCGTTGTTTGCTTGCTTTTTAAAAGTTTTTTTTCTGGGAAGAGACGGGGTGGTTACAGACCAAACTAAATACCACAAATGTGTATACTATGTTATTTAATATATCTAGACGCTCAAGTACGTCACTCCAGCACGAGAGAGGGCGCACCCCAAGTCGCAAGGCAGGCACTTACACAATTCAACCAAACCACTTCACAATCTTCGCCTCGACTGGCTGTAGCGGACGACGGCAGACTTGCCCACGTTTTCAAAACCCAAGCAATCCGGGACACCCAGCGGTAAAACATCAAAATACGCAACGACAAACAAAATCACATCGAGTGGGACTGGTTTTGGAGAAGTGAATGTGATGAGGCTCTCAAATTCCCCGACTGTCGAATCAGGGACAGTTGACAAGCTCACGACTGCACCTCTAAAAACAAAACGGGTATTTATTGTCGCAGACACACGAGCCAGCACAGAGGGGGTCGCTTGTCAAGGTGTTGAGCATTATTTGCCAAGTATTGCAACTTCATTCCATAATAATTGGTCAATGTCCCTCTAAGCACGTCGCTTTACGGCATTCCGAGAACCAGCCATCAGGTCCCGTCAAGAGAAATAAAAAAAAGCCAAAACACATACACACACACACACACAAACTAAACGTCGATGGTAGGACCCCCCCCCCCAAAAAAAAAAAAAAAAAAAAAAAAAACCCTTGTAAAACAATAACAACAACAACAAAAATCTAAATCCGACCCCACTCAGATCCAAATCATGTGTAAGCTTCGTTGTTTTAAAAAAAAAAAAGAGCAACAACTTCCAACAGGAAAACAAAACAGCCATTACGGCCGACAAAGGCGTATGAGGCAGAGTACTCGCACACATCATCAACTAATACCTATGTCGTCAGGGGCTTACAAACAACCCTTGGATCCATTGTCCTGAGGACAGACCACAACGTGAAAAATTGCCCCGGTAATCTTCTTTGTGAAGCGAAAAAAAAAAGAAAGCAAAACACTCAGAAAATACGACGGTAGATGTATATAAAGTAGCCTCCTTAAATCTCATTTGCCATAAAGAGGATCCAGGTATTCTTGAAGAAGTGTCTGAAAAAGTTTCTCAGTAACAGATGGACAGACAGGGTCCCCAACGCGGAAGTGTCCAGGACTACAAGACACAGCACTGTCGGAGAGGAAGTGAGAAGAAGACGATGGGGGAAAGGTGGAAAGTTTGTTCGTGACCTATACCCTGATGCAAAGTGAAAAAGGCCCTGGCGGTAATGATGTGTAGCAAACAACCCCAAAGGCGCTATGGCTAAAAGGTAAGTTGAATTAGAAGAGGAATTCTAACCTGGGAGCTCGAACCTGTTCCAGTATTATCAACTGACCAAATATCGTGAAAGAGGTTGCTTTTTCTATTTTGTCCTAATGGGCTTTTCTTCATGAGGGAAAAACCATCTTTTGACATAAGGAGGTGGATATTTCCGAGTATAACAATGTCAATCGTTTCGGATTAACACATTTTTTTAAAAACAAGAAACGTGACTCCAATCAAAAGAGCTAGCGCTGGTAACAATAAACACGCCCAGAGCGAGAAAGAGGAGAGGGAGCGAGAAGAAAGAGAACAAATATACACAGAAACAGAAATGTGAAGAGAGAGAGAGAGAGAGAGA